TTTAAAAATTAAAAAACTCATCCAGTTAACTCAACCCCTTTTTTAGAAAAGATAACCCAAAGGAATTTTTATTCTAAAACTGAAGGACATCAAGGTGACAACATATAATGAAATTATTTTAAAGTCAGTAGAACATCACTCTGTGACTAAATACATTGATCATCAGTCTGAAGCCATTTTTCATAACTTTTCAGGGGGGAAAAATGTGTGCAAGAGTCCTTATTGCAGGCCTTCAAGTTTAGCCATCCTTCAGTTTGTGCTATAACATTGTACATGCACGCATTCATGTTACAGGGCTGCAGAAATTACATGTCTATGTCAACAGATGTGTTTCTTGGAAGAAAGCAACAGAAATCAAGTTTATTCAAATGTTTGCCAGCTACCATATGCTGCAATACTACTTTAAATGTAACATAAGGCTTTGGGAACATACTTTTACTGCTATCTACACTTTGTTATTTACTTTCCATTTAGACTAAATACCAGAGACGGGGCACACTAAGGGGTGCAGTGTCCTCTTTGTAAAAACATTCTACCCGTTGTAGTATTTAGAAAGGAAAAAAAATATACAGAGCCCTACATTACTCTTGACCACTTTCAGTGGCTGCACTTTCATAGGGAGGCTCCAGGAAAGATATTTTTACATATGGCATTAATTCTGGGAACTTTTAATAATGGCCAAATATAATTAAAAATTATGCAAAAATTCCTGCCATGAAGAGAGCAGTACAGAAACAACTCTGTTTGAAGAAAAAGCAATCGTTTGCTCATATTCTGAGTCCATAAAAAAACAAAACACACGTGGTACGTTTTTAATATTTGAACTACATCAGGCCCAATTCTGCTCCTATGCGAAGCGAGTGGCAAAACTCCAGAATGCAGCAGGATTGAGCCCCTGATGTTGTCACAAGCATTCAAATAAACAAACAGGTCTGTAACACATTCTAAGCTTCCACTGTGTTCCTCTAAATGAATCCAGAAAGAAAAAGAAAAGCCCATTTCATTGCATTTCTGCAATACAAGGATAACAACAATGTACAACCTTCTATTATATAGAACTCACCCTCTTAAAGTATTTGCACCCAAATGTCTAAAGAGGAACAGTTTCGAAGAGTCAAGAAAATGTTTGTGCACAAATTTGTAGACAGCTCTACCAAATCTGTTTTTTGATCTTCCTGAGTTCCTAACATGATTTTTTCTCTGGACTTTCATAAAGTGCAAGATACAGGGATGTTTTTACATGACCCAAATGTGGGCATCTCCCACAGCCAGCTAAATCCCGTAGGCTCTTTTGCAGACAATAGAAAGAGCTGTCAATGTTCTGAATCATCCTCAGGGAAACATAAGCTAAGTCTCTGCTCTCAGTCTCTTCAGCAACTCTAAAAGAAACTGCAAAATCTGAAACTCACTCAAGTTATTCAGCATTAACAGTAAAATAGCATAAGGATGGCATCTAGTTTTTAACCAGTGGGAGAAATTTTACTTTGTCCATATCTTCATTTTCTGCTATCTGTGATTTCATTCATAATATGGTAACTGATAAACTAAAAGCTGAGTGCATCTCTCAGATCTTAATTAACTCTGAAAGCTTGGGCCAAAATCCAGCAAGGCCCTTATGCACTTGCATAATTCTAAGCATATTGACATCTTGGGTTTGAACTTACAAGCATGTCAAAGCCCATCACTGGACCATTGCCAGACAACTCAGCACCTTCCTAAAAGAAGTCCCTGAAGTTCAATTTTTAACTGAGGCAATATCTGTGAAATATTTTCCTTTCTGGGCTATGTATTTTAAATGTGTCTTAAATGGCTATAGGAAGCATTCCCAACTCCACTACACTTTTACTGCTGAGTTTATGCCAAGTCCATCTTTTTGAACACTATTCCACAGAAAAGCCAGGTCTGTTGTTTTATGACGCAGCTGCATACATTTGACAGTATGTCCAGGCAGCTTCTCCTGATCTGGAAAGGAGCCAAACACCACACACAACAGCTCAGGAGTTAATGATACATGTGCACCAGGATAAAGTTATTGATCCAGTTCTGGTGAAGCCTGTCTCACCAGTGACATGGCATAAACTCCCAGGACACAAAGAGGAACTCCACTGATAAAAGTGAATCTCAAAATTCCTTATGCTCACGTTTATAGTGTTTTACACTAAGATTAACACTTCTAAGACATACAAAAAAGTGCCAAACGGTCCAAGGCCAACTGCTACCCTCTCAAAGAATGACTGAATAAATACATAGAAATACTCATGCCACAGATTTGATGGTGTTTCTTAGACTTTGAAAGCAGTGGGTCTTTCACCAGATAAAGCCCTTATCTACACAGAAATCTTGCAGATCTTCATTAACAATCACATGGCTGACATTTACTGACGTAATGTATGGAAAAGCTACTTAAAACAGGAGACACTGTTTCAGAATGGAGCTACACAACTTGTCTCTGTAGCTAAGAAACTGGATCTAATTTTGTTCCAACCACCTGCAATATTTTAAATGTTTTCCCTATCACATTATTAGAAGAACCACACATGTTTGGTTGCCTCGACATTTTATTCAAGTCATTTCTGAGTTATGACATATGTAGCAAAGGCTGGAATATTCTTTGGTGTGTGACATATGTGCCACAAACACTCTTTGACTGTTACTGTTAGTTGATGCTTGTAGAGAAAAGCACTGGGTGATACACAGCAGTAAATTACTTCCATAACTGTTAGTTTGTGGGATGGCATAACCTAGAAGTCAAATCACAGCCAAACAGATGGAGAATGTGTATGCCACAAAACTGTATCACTTCACATTACATTTATATTCAGAAATGGTGTTTTCAAAACAATCTGCTTCTCTTGCTTCTGCCAGAAATGGCGTAGTTTAAGACACTCTTTCTCTTGAGTATTTTCCTTCCCCCACCCCCCACCACTCCATGCACAAAGATGCTTTGGTTTTGTTTCCTCCCCTCTTTCCTTTCTTTCTAATAAATATACTATTTTACTGTACAAGGCATGAATCTTGTCAATTTACTGGCTAACATCCATTCACATGTACATCAGAAGCCCACCAGGGAGTGTCAAATCCACAGAACTTTCCAAAGCCAGATTCAAAATATGGACCTCTTACTTAGCTGACAGCTGTGGAAAATCATATGCAGCCAGACAACTCCCCAATGACCACACAGGTGCATGTGCTGAACAAGGCAAGTTATTCTAAGACCAAGATTAGTTTATACTTGAAAAGTTATCTTCAGAAAAAGTTTTTCTCATGGCATAATGTGATTCTGAGACCAAAAACCACCACACCCTTTTTAGAGGAGGGGAACATATTAGCTCAGCTAGGTAGAGAGGCTGCAGGAAATCTGTGAAAGCAGCCAAATTTCAGAGGTTTTCTGGGAAGATACGACAATCATTTGGCCTCAACACAGCAAGCTAGCATTAACCAGGACTACTACAGCTCATTAATGTCTACTTTCTCTTTTATTGATAACTATAAAATCAAACACGTGTTTTAAGCTATAAACTGCCTATGGACAAGGCATGTAAGTTACAGATTTCCACTTCAATTATGCTCCATAGCACACATGTAATTTCAGGACAGTTTGACTTGGCTCAAATGGCTCTGTGCCACCAGTTTCTCACTCCACCCACCACCAGGAAGGAGCCCTGAGGGACAGGACTGAAGCTGTTACCAGGACTCAGCCTAGAAACTTGCCCTAATGAAGTGGAGTCAAACTGGTCCCAGACCAGGAACGCAGAAGTACCACTAAACAATCTTCTTCTGAACATACACTTTACATCTTTTCACCAGACAGAAGGCTCAAGCAGTAACTGCTTGCAATTCCAAGTCTTTGCAGTAATATTCAGTGGATTCTCACCTATAAGCATTTATGCTCTTCAAACTTAGGAACTTTAACCTAATTGCCCATTCCTCTTACTCTTCTCCAGCAGTGAGATCCCATGATTCAGAACTGAGCTACGTTTCAATCCTTGGAAAAATCTCACTATTGGTTTGAGCTACTTTTATAAAATATGAGTGGACATCTGTCACAACTTCACACAGTGTCAACACAGCAATTTTATCTGCTGCAGGGAGTGTTGGAAATACCAGATTCATCAGTTTAAGCATAGGAAAAAAAACTTTGGTCCCCTCAGAGTTGTTGTTCTGTCATCCACCTATGCTGCCACATAGAAAAGCTAACTGTTACTCCTCCAGCTGCAGCACTGACACACTCACTGACAGAAATTTCATGTGCTAAACACATCCTCTACATGGAAGCTCAAAATCAGATTATTAATGTCTATTCTGTCCCAGGTTCACAGAGATGTACCACAACCTGTTATATTAATAGAATGTATGAATTTTGACTATACAGACCAATTGCTCTGACAAATGAAAATATTTTATTTGCATTTTTATAAAACTCAACAGGATTATACCCAAACATTGTCCACTGTACTGCTCACAAATGAAACGTTACATTGGTTTAATAACCTGAAAAAAATCCACATACCATATAAGGCACTTGGTATCGTGTTTTCATTTGAAGATTATCACTATGGATATGCAACTAAAAAGCTAAATTAAAAATAATAAATTTGTACAAAATGGAAAAGAGAATTGAATAAACTCTGCAAAAGAAAACATAACAAAGACAGAGGCAAGATGCTACTCATCACGTATATCAGATTCAAAGACCTTTTCTGATTACTTAGAAACTGAAGTTTGAGCAAAAGCACACAAACACTTTCATTTGCCACCTCTTCCACTGGAGTGTTTGCATCGCAAAAAAAGCAAACAGTTACATCTGTGATTCATTCTGGCCTCTCTCCTTATGAAGTTCACATACTTCTAGAAATGCTACTTATAATTTATTTTCTGTCTTGTGACCAACAAAAACAAACACAACCAATTCAGCTATAGAACACAATAGGTAATGGCCCAACAGCCCTACTGCTAGAGGTGTTGGAACATAATTATTCCCACTGATTTAGGGCACATACCTCTCTCACACTGGGGTCCAGTAAAGCCATACGTGCAAGCACATCGGTTTGGAGCTACGCATCTCCCTCCATTTAGACATCCATTTTCACAGACAGCTGTATCAAAGGGAAGGCAAGAGTAATCTTTACTGAGCTGTTTTCAGAAAGACATGAAGATATGTACTTGGCCAATTTAGGTAAACTGGTAAAAATGGTAAACATACCAAACTCTTTTCCTAGAATCTACTTTATGACCTTCTACTTCTTCCTGGCCTCATCAGTACCATAAGCTCATCTTTTCAAGGGAGCATAACACAAATACAGGAACAACCACAGCTTTTCTGACCTCTCAGAGCCTTTCTCTTTGGGATAGCTGGACAATCCCATAACTTCAAAATAATATCTCTTTCAAACTGGTAACAAACAAATATGGATAGAGATTGTAGAGAGAAGACACAGAGGAATATTTCATCTCTAAATCCTCAAATGTATTTGTTCCTTCTGTAATAATCCAGTATTAAAAGGCAGTTTGTTGGTGTTAAATAAATTATTTTATTAACTAGGCTTGCAAAATTGAATCAATATGTATTCCATGTTAATTCAAGACACTCCTACTCTGAATCTTCCTCTGCTGTCACTAGCTTCAGAAGTCAATTTTTTAATAATAAACTCCAAAAGCAATTCTTCTCAGAAATAATCAGAAAATACAACATGCGCATGAAAAAGGAGATTTTAAATACAATTTGATGTTCATTGAGTAATGTTATTCTTTGTTCCGTTTCACATTCACTTCAGTAGAAAGAAGATTTCCATTTATCCTCTTTTATCCACTTGATATTTCACAGTGAAGGCAGAAATGCAATTCTTAATCCTTTCACCATGTGATCCTCCTCCAGATTATTAGGGTAAATTCCTCATCCCACTGAAGTTCATGTAAAGTGTGCCATTGATTTTGACAGAGCACAACAGGTTTTCATTAAATGAGCTAAACACATTTTCTGTGTCAGACCAGTATTTCACTAGATAGCAATGTGACAGCCTTGGTTAAAAGCAGTGTCTACATCCTTATTTGAGTTACTTCACAGCATTCCAGCCAAGAAGAACAAGAGAGCAACAGAGTCTGTTTGGGAGAGATTTCAAGCAGCAGATCCAGGAATGCTTTTGACTAAGGACTGATTGAGGAAATTTTAAAAATCTGTCAACCAACTCTAATAAGAAAACCTCAAAATTTCTGATGCATACTAGCTAATTCTGATGCAAACACTGAAAACAAGATTTTTTTATTAAAAATCCTAATTTTATCTTTAAAATGAGAACGGAATCCCATGTAAAATTTAGATTTATGACCCACTGCTCTAGTGGGTGAGAAGTCCTGGAGGTCAATGGGAATTATGGCAGTGTGAAATCTACAGGATCAAGTGATATTCAATTATTATGAAGTCACATGATGTTTATTTTTATAGTCTTGATCAGTAAGACTTCACTCAGCATTCATTACAAAATCATGTATTTTTCTGTAAAATTTCACTATATCTGGTCTAAAACAGCTCAAGTTCAGCAGCTGAGGTTTAGTGCTAAAGTGTCCAACCCACACATCACAGAATTACTTAACAGCATCTACATTCCTAGGAGTGTACTTACGCTGTCCACAGTGAGTTCCTGTGTATCCCTTCTGACAGAGGCAATGGTCATCACTGCAGCTACCCCCGTTCATGCACCGGATGTTACAGTGTTGGACTTGAAAGGAAAAAAGATTTTCCTCAGTTAAATCAAACCAGTCAGAAGCACTTTACTGTTTGCTAAAGGTAAACTTTTTTTTTTTTTTTTTTTTCTTTTAGGGATTGATTCTGTGAACCAGAAAGTTTTAGAAGTCAACAATGCACATTTTAGGACAGATACAGAAAATGGCACTACAGAACACAATATAGATTTAGAGCTCCTAAGGAATATAGGACATGGTGCATGATGCACCCTCTAATTCAAATGAAGTCAAAGGCATTTCATATGAGCATAAATCCTCAACATTTCCTTCCTAGTTTGCAATTATGAGAAAAAGCCTTCAATAAGGGAAAAAAAACTAAACTTCTGGCAGACAGCACCATTAGAAAGGGAGTCTTATCATCTGGGAAGCGGGGGAGGGAAGTATTGAAGGGAAGCATGTAAGGAAGCTCCTGAAGACAGCCCTGTTCTGCTAACACATGCAACACAACAAGCTGACCTGGCCAAGTAGGATTTTTTGCATAAAAAAAGAGAAGTAACAGAGTTATTTCTTTCTGTATGCCAACTGTGGGCTCACCCCACCAGTAGAGCTGCTGTGCTTGTGAGCTGCAGAGCTCCCAGACAGCCCTTCCCCAGAGTCAACAACCTTTCCCTCCCAATGGCAGAGGCAGGGGAGCAGCAGCACTCTCTCCTCAGCTGCAGCCCTGCCACTTACAATGCCTAACAGACAGCTTAAGTCCCATGCCAATAAACATAATGTCTCTGAGTAATTTTTCTAGTAATAAGGGCAAATATAGCTCTTAACTAGATGTTGGGAGCAACTAAAAGTATGTCAGGCTCTTCATAAGGCATAGAGAAGTGGGCAGGTCTCCCAGCAAAGCGAAGTCCTTCCTGCTGTCCAACACAGCTGTGAACTGGGGCCTGTACTCCAATAAGCAGCTGGGAAATGGCTTTCCTCTTAACGGGAACCACATGAAAGGCTCCTCCCCAGATAGGATTACAGTCTAATCAGCAGCTCAGTAGATTGTAGATGGAGCTCTGGATACCTACACCACGCTGTCTGAAATGTTCAAGACTGAAAAATGGAAATTGCATGTCCCGTCAGAGCCTGCAGCTAACAGGTGCCATGCCAAACACCAAATTTTTCATCTCACACAAAACCCTTAGGCATCATTTGGCTTTTAACAGTTCAGAAGTATGTGAATATAATTTTTTTTCAAGTAGAAATAATAATTTTAACTGTAATGCCTTCTATAACAATATGATTCCACAAAACAGAAGTAAAATATACAACTGGAGAAAGAATTTAAAGTAAACTAGCATTTAAAACACTAGTAACCTTAATTCTAAAATTATAAAAGCAAAAACTGTGTATTACATTTCTTATGTGTCTAATAGTTATTATATATCTTTGTTCTGCTTTGGATGTACTTCAGTACTTCAAGCAACAAAAATGTACCAACATTCCTCAATAAAAAGTAAAATTGTCTGCAAATACAGAGTGAATATCTGGTTAAGATTTTTGGACAATGTCCTAAGTAGGTCAGAAAAAGGTGTATAGTTACTTTAAAATGTGTAGTTCAACTAACTTTATACAATCTTAGAAAAACAGAGGGGATTACAAAAAGCATAGGAAATGATATCATCTGTCAAGCAGGGAAGGAACTTAAAAACCACAAACTGATTTCAATTAGAGCAAGCTATGCCAAGAGCTAATTTCCATTCCCACATGAAGACCAAAGCTATTTAAGTAGTTTGAACTACATTTGAGATTAAAAGGTTAACAGTAGCTTAAATTATAATTTTCATATTATCTGTTCATGTATAAATAAAGTATATTTCTTCATTTTGGGATACACAAAGTTTCCATAACTTGTCTTACTGCTTCTTAAAATAGCTTTTCCAAGGTAAAATACTTCTTCCTCCTTTTAAAACTAAAATCATTATGGGAGACTGCTGGGATACCCAGTCATCCTTACTTAAATGAGCCATTTAAATCAGTGAGCTTTCTCTCCTATTACCAGGCAAGAGGATCACTGACATAGGCAGTAAATTAATAACTTATTTTCTGCCCTCTTTTGTGGGAATGCTGGAAAGAGTACTTCCAAAATCATACAGACTATTCTGTAATATTATCCTTCCAAAAGTTTATAGAAACACATTCAAAGGCTGTCTGGAGCTCAGATGATGATGTTAAAAATGCATTTTTGAAAACTAGCATATTAATGCAGGTCCAGGTTCTCTTTTCTCAGCTATATCAACAATCCTATTAATGTCAGTGGAGATATTCCGGTAAATGAAACAACCTGTTCCAAGGTATCACAGAGACTGACAGAGACTCAAAGAAAAAGCACAGGAATTACTATAAGGCTGGTGAATCAATGCATATAGCTTTGCCTTATCTTGGCATGCACAGGAAATGTTAACATTAATAAATGGTTGCTTTTAATCAATTATTGTTCTTTTTCACATCCAATTTGTAAACAGTCTGCACTGGAAATGTCTGAAGTCAAAACAGGAATTACTGCAGGAACACAACTTTATAAATCTGCAAAAGAGCCAGCAAAACCATACATATCCACACAGGCTTTGTGTGTGGGCGACAGTTGTGTTTTTTATCAAAGTGCTGCCCTCTTAAGCATAACAATTCCTGACTTTTTAAACAAATACCCAGCAAAACCGAGTAAAGACTTCATCACACCCAGAACACTGCCACAAGCAGAACCGCTGATGGAACGTGCAGGAGCTCACCAAGCAGAGGAAAGGTACCACGCGTGCTGTCCACTCTGCGATCCCACCAAGAACCGTGAGGCGGGAGCTCTGCAGCCCTCAGGCGGGCCCAGCAGCGGCGCCGCCGGCACCTGAGTCCCAGCGCGGCCGGCGGGCACGGCGGGACAGGCCGGCTCTGCCTCTGTGCCACTGCCGAGGAAGCGCTCCCAGCCCCGGCCTGCATGACGCAGGGCTTTGCCTGCCAGGAGCTGTAAACAAGGAATGACGGCCGCATCGCATCCCAGATGCTCGGCGTGCTTTCTCTGTCGAGTGACTGACTCAGGAGAGAGATGGCAGCTAGCGCCAAGGCAGGATACGAGCCTGCTGCCCCACAGCCCTGCACAAGGCATAGGCAAAATCTGCAGTACCCGCAAAAACTCTGGGAACATTCGATATTCAAGCCCTTACAGCACCTCTGACAGTAGAATACCACAGATGGGGCTGAGCTCCAGGTTTTACTGTCATTGAGCAGACATCTCCCACAGCAGCCGAGGAGTGGGGTCCCAGGCTCAGTCCCACACCACGGGCAGTCCCTGAGGAAGATTCCGGGCAGGAAGGCTCTGAGGAGGAGTTCAGTCCTCGGCTGTGCCTCTGATGCTGCTGGCAGGGAGCAGAGCAGGCCCTGCTCTGGATATGGACACTCCATGCCTCCACAGCCATCACCCCAGGCACCTACCACAGCTGCCCCTGTCACAGCTCCCTTTCTTCAGGGACAGCTCCATCAGCAAATGCCTTCCCTGTTTCAGCCAGCCAAAACCATTCTGCCTACAGAAGCAAAACCAGGGCCTCCGCTCAGAGACAGACCTGACCCATAACCCTGGGTCAGCCTGACACCCTCCTCCTGGTATGCCCCTGCTCCCAGAGGGGCAGAGCAGCAGCTCTAACACGTGGCAGGATCACAGAGCGTGAATGAAGCACTAAGAAGGGCCAGGCTGCAGCAGCCACGAACACGGACACGGCAGCCACAGCCCAGGCGCTGTGAAGCAGCTGCCACCACAGAGCTGGCAGAGCACGGAGCACAGGACACCTCCCACAGCACAGAGTGCTGCACAGCCACACACAGGTGCACCTGCGGTGTCAGAGCACCCGCACATCGCAGCCAGCAGCAGGGAGGCCTCCACACTTGGCACTCTTATCCCAAGCCTGCTGTAAGCACACCCAAAAATTCTCTAATTACAAAGAAATAACCACTACTCAGCCAGTAAGTTACTGATGTCACTAAAATCCCTGCTGAGAAAACCACTGGTTGATCTTTTCAACCACAAATCAGATTCCTAAAGCTGACTCTTAACCAGAAAAGTCCCAGCAACTGACCTGTATGATAATCAAACTTGGAGGCTTTGTTTTGCTCTCAAATCCACATGCTTTCCAGTCCACATTAAATATTTTGACAGACAACCAGAGTATAAGAGTCACTGCCAGTTCAGTTTCTATCTATGGATGTACCTGCTAGAAAATCCATGCCTACTACTGATTGTTTAAGTACTGAAGACACACATAGCTTAAAATATCCAAAGGACATCTCACATATCAGAAGCTATACACTTAATTCTAAGAAATCAAGGCATTTTCACTCATATTTTCTATTTTCATTCTGCATGTGACAAACATGTACCATTTATATTTGATTTTTAATTATTTAATTAGATTTTTTTATTATTTTAAAAACATATAATTAAAATAAGGTTTAATAAATGCATATTCTGACAAAATATTAACTGTTACCAAAGGTAGTTGACAGTAACCATTTGATGTCAAACAGTACTTTTTATGTTTACTTTGTTTTCTAATTGCAGATCTAAGTCATTGTGGCCTATTGTGTAAATACATATTCATGGATTTTGTCTACAGTACCAACAGCACAAATTATTTACATAAAGTATGTTCTGTAAGTACTAATGATGTGGTAAATCATAAAAATATTACACATGACTGCACAGAAGCAGTGGAGTCTCTTTTCTCTACAACTTACCAGACACTTCTGCTTTTAGAATTGGTATGTTTTAATAAATAAAGGGGATGTAACCACATAGAGAAAATGTATCTTATATTACCGCAGAAATTGAACAACTCCAATGAAGGCTAAAACTATGGAGATCCATTTCAGAAAAAGAACTACAAGAAGAATCAAAAACTTTACCCTATTTTTCTCTTGAGTCTTGACTCATAAAAGACTCCAGTGGGGCCAAAGAAAAAAATGAGGTAAGGCCCACTTGTTCCTGCCAAAGGTGCCAAAACATGTAAAAGATGCAGGGATCTATGTCTCCTTTTGTGCCCCAAAGGGTACTTGGGAGAAGGTCATGCCTTCCTTAACTGGCTTACAGGATTAAGCATAGGCACCTGGTAAAAAAGTAGCTGCAAAGCGAGGCAGGAGCACACCACCACACACATTTGTGCAGCACTTTGCACCCTTCCCTCCCTCCAGTACTCTCTGGGAACTCCATAGCTCCACATCTTCCCCGTGCTGCCCTCTCCCTAACATACATCACAGAAGTATGAGATGGGATGAACTACAAAGAACAATGTTTACCATTTTAGTACATGCCATTCCATTACATTCTGCAATTGTTAGTGCTTTTCCACTGTTACTGCATAAAAACGATGATAAAACCACAAACTGAAATGGTCAGTTATGTGGGAAACTCTTATCAACCAGGAAAGCAAAAAAATGGCAAAGTAAAAAATAAGAAGCAAAGTGGACCACACACTGAGTCTCAAGATATTCAGAACTAAAAGGATAACCACTTTGCATAATATTAGAGACCTCAGCTGAGTGCATCCCCCACTGACTTCTGTTAATATGTTGTTCAGATAGTTACAGGCATTTGTGGGAACCAGTCTACCCCAAAATTCTTTCCAGAAACTTCACATGTCATAAAAAAATCTAAATAATGTACATTCTAAGAGACAAGAACCATGTTCAAATGAGAATACAGAGTACTTTGCAGTTGACATTTCAGATATGAATCCTACTCTATATCAAACACTCAACTCATGTTTAGCCATTGAGTTCTCTGTTCATTGAATGGATTCAATTTTACTCATTTTTCCCTGGCTCTGGGAAACCTTCCTTGATAACTTGAAATACAAACATTTCTAGGAAAAGTCATCTGTCTGAAAAGTTTCATTTTCAAAGAATCTTTGTTTTTCTGATGAAAAGCTATTCCACTTAAAAACTTGAGCAACTCTGTACCTCTAGTACCTACAGAAGTATCACCTGAAGTAAGCGTTAGATTCAGAAGATACATACTGAGCCTGGCAAGGAAATGCTCTAAAGCTTGTAGGTCTAGGTAGGAGCATACAGCATACATAGTGTCTGGTTTATAATCCTTGAAGTCTGAAGGAAATTCCAAAGCATGTCAAGATCAGCCAATTGTCAAGAGTTGTCTCTCTGTCATTACAACTTTTGTCATATATATGCTCATGTCTACCAGTGAATAGAGATATTTTCCAGAAAACAAGGAGGACTAGGATTAGTGTTACAAAGTGGCAAATGAAAATAGCTTCTAATAAGACTGATTTGGGTTTGATTTGGCAAAAAAAAAAGAAGTGCTTCCAAAAGCCCATGTCTGAGTCATTCTTCAGTTTCATCATAGAAAGCTACACTTTCCTTCCTGTGTTAAAAGTATGTCTGGTGACTCAGAGGGTATTTGTCTTAAATACTGACCACTGAACTATTTTACATATCTTAGTAGCTTCACAGACTCAAAAGAGTAATATCAGATGCACAGAAGAAATACTTACTTGATTTTGAACCACAGGAGGGGGCTATCTGACCATTTGGGCATGTGCACATGTTTGGTCTAGAGCAAAATCCATCCCCACAGGAATGTCTGCAGATTGCTATTAAGAAAACATAAATGCCTTTAAAATATGTATCAAAAACCTCAAACACATAAAAAACACCTGATAGAAAATTCAGTACCATAACATAAATACCCACAAACTCATTAAACCGCATACAACAGATCCCAAAACAGTTCCTCCTGTTCATCTGCATCTTTACAGGGAGCAGCTAAGACCTAGACCTTCACCATCTGCTACGAAAAGGCCTGGGAACGTGCCACAGGCCACACTAGATATGGGGAGATTTCCTTGGAAAAGTGAAGCTGTTGTCCATTTTACCAGACCTTCTCAGAGGAAGGATGGCACTGAGGCAGCAACATAATGCTTTCTTTATTTCTGCACCACACACAGACAAGAGCAGTAATTCCCATCTGACAGCATGCTGCTGCAGGGTCTCTGGAGAGAGTCTTATCAGTCTTGGGCAAAGTGCCTTTAGGAATTATTTCTGGTACACTTCTTCTACTACACATGAATATGCATACAGCACTATGATGTATGTATATATTTATATCCCTATGTATATATTTCAGGAATATGGTCCAAAGAAGTAGAGAAAATGCATTTGCTGGGCTGATGCTGTTGCCTCCTTCCATTACTTTAAATAGATTAACATATTTCACTCACTCCCAAGAGTTCACACACCCCTTGGAACCCTTTCCTACAGACTTAAACAGAACATTTGGATGAGATTAATCTTTTGTTAAATACTGGTATCACATCACCATGTTGTAGCCCATGAAACTTTGTATATTAGCTTAATATAGTTTAAATGGTAAAGAAATCATGTACAGCTTGCTATTGAAAGCATACAGAAACACATTTCAGTTCTGGTATACAATTAAAACCACCCTGAGACACAGAAGGACAAAGATAAACATCAGTCATAACACATAACCAGATTAACTTACGGACTATGCATTGGTTTCCACCAGGTAACGTTTTCCATCCAGGGCAGCAGTAGGCATTGTAACGTGATCCACACACATTTGGTCTGAAAAACAATAAAAAGGATAAGGAAGAATTATTATTTTTTACTCAGAAATATGTTTTAGAAGTAGAAACATAAAATGGAAAAGGTAAATCAATGTATATTCACTGACATCCATCAAATGCAATATACATTTCATTAATTAAATTTAGAAGTGTTGTATGTTTTTGGCCTGCAGTTGTTGGGGTTTTTAGGTAACATACACTTCTATAAATTAAAGATAACATCACAAGCACAAAATCAAATCAGTAACATCTGAACAACAGGAATAGAATGGGGAAACCTTGTCTCACAACACTCCATAACTGAAGAAGTAACCATCCAGGTTTTTTGAGCAAAATTCACACTTAAATGAAAAATAAGCATCCAGCATCATTAATAACCACAAACTAAATCTAGTGGTCTTTGAGCGGGAATTTTTAATCTTCCTGTTGGTTTCTTTTCCTTACTCTAAAGCACTACTACTGGTCCCTATCTTTGCCATTAACAAAATTATGTATATGTGAGTGAAACATGCCAACAAGAACATTAGCCAAATAAATGTGTCAAAATATGTTAATTCTTCATTAGAAAAAATTACTTACTACCAAAACTAATCAAGGATGTGGGTGTATGTAGTGATAGGGTCCTATGAAATGAGTATGAGGGGCCTACTGCCCTCCTTAAATAATGTATCCACAGGAATTTTGCTTTCCAACCCATTCCTCTCATCCACATTAACCCTTCCAAATAACTTTATTACTAGAGTTTATGACAACTGAAAGTTGACAGGACATGACACTATTCCTATCATGATAAAAATAGAAAAGTTGAAATTATTCTATATCCCTCATATATAAAGGGACAATAGATTGTTTTTAATCTATCTTGTCCTATTTATTTGATGCATCTATCCATGCAAATAAAGCCAGTAAGAATACTTTCAAAAATGGGAACATGTGCCTTCTTTTGTTTTACGCTTAATAATCTTAGCAGAGGAAAATTTTACAACCTCTGTTAATATTGTGAGCAATTACTCTATAGATTAATGCAGCTAGAACAAGCTAGAAACTTCCTAGGAACTGCTGTATTAAAATATTGTATACAGATTAGAGACAGATTTAAATGTTTACTGTTTTAAGAAGAGTTCTCTATTATTATTTTGTCCTTGGTCTTTCAGAAAGTTCTTCATTGCTAGTATTGCAATGTTTAAGTAAACAATAGTTACTTCATATGGTGAGGCCACTTAAGACAAACAATTTCAATATATACAAACATTTCTTTATGCACGTTTTCTAACTAACAAAAGTTATATACTCAATTTATTTAGGGATATGCAGTACTAAAGCAATTTCAAGTATTCTGATTACACCAATTTCAGGTACACCTATTCTTTCCAACCATGGCCAGAAACTACTTAAGTCAAAGCAAGCACTACTATTACCTTCCACTGGTTCTGGATAATTACAAAGTAGTAACTGAGGTGAATGTGAGCAACACAACTGGACTTGTTGCAGGGTCCTTTTCCCTTCCTGCAACTGGTGTTACAGACTCAAAGTCTTATTCATTTAATTCCAATGTATTCAGTTTTAGTAATGTCAGCTACTTCCCTGCAGGGCTATAACCATGTAACTTTCCTAGAGTTCCCTATTCATCAGTGCCAAATGTTGCTCCACAATCATCTGCCAAGTAAGACTGGCAAGCAGACAAGTGAGATTGCTTTTCACCTTCCCCAGTCAGAAGAAATAATGGAACTTATTAAGACAGATAGAATGGGTTTGTTGCTACCTGTTACAACCTATGGGCATAAACCACCCATTTCCGCTTCCAGCTGGTGAGGATCTATAGAAGGCTGACCTTAAAGTGATGTTTATGTAGTCTGTCAAATTTTAGTCTCAGCAAGTATGTGGCTTTGGGGACCATCTGGTCCACGTTAAGAGTCAGAACAGATTTCTGTGTCACAGAGAAACCTGGTTTTAAAAATCTTTTTCCAAAATGGGACTCTGGAAAACCTAGATGTGCCAGCAACCATGAAGTCAGAGACCCTGAGAGCCTTGAGGCTGTCCACAGGGTAGGCTAAGCCATGCAACCAGGAGCCTCCAACTCCTGTGCAGTGTGCTTAGGTTTAAAGAAAAAAAGTCATCATACTGTACTTCCATGGAACAGTTTGAGCCTGACAAGTGCATTTTCCAGTGGAACACTTTTTCGTCAGAAAGCTGCTGTCTAGCTTATAAAAGAAACCTATATTAAAGTCCGAACGTTGCTTCTTTGAGACAGAGGGAATGTTCTTAAATCGTGCATATTTGTAAAATGACTTTGAAAATAATTAATTTTGAAGGTTAAATTAATTGATATTTATGAGGTGATCAGACACTATAGCAATAAATCCCCATAAATAAAGTATGCAAGGCAATAATAAATAATCTACCTCATGTAAAATCATGGAATACATCAATCAAATTGTAAAGGCTCTGTCATGGCACCTACTTTGAACAGTTACCCACTGTGTGTTAAATAGAACATATTTTCCTGATGATATTATAAGCTATGAATACTAAAGAAGGGCTTTATATTCTTATAAAACTGTTTTCCTGAACAGCACTAGAAACAGAATTCAGTTATGAAATCTGATTTGTAATGATAACATAAGCAAAAACTTATCAATATACCCTGAAACTACCTACAGCACCTTCTTTTCACTCCAAAGCCCAGAGAAGGAATAGAGAATCTCAGAACAAAGCTGTTACCATTGAAATTTAAAAAAAAAAAAAAAAATCTGCTTTATTTTAGAGACACTTAATGAACTTGTAAAGTATAAAAGTATTTCTGTAATGGCATGGTGCTGAGAGACAGGATGGCCGATGCCCAGATTTTCATCAAAGATGTCCAAATTAAACAAGATATTATGTCTTTGATTAATGATATGCAAGTAGAAATTCAGTAGCAAAGTGAGTTGAATTATCAAAAGACATTAGACATGAGTCATCAACTAGAAAAATCTTGGAACAGAGAGAAAAAGGTTCATCTGGAAATTTTGATATTTAACACTTGAAAGTGATAGGTTTGCACAGATATTGACAGCACCTGCATGTACCAAGCCAGAAGATATTCTTTCAGAAACAGCCACGGGGCCCTGCACCCATTACCGAGGGAAACCGCGCGGGTCCCTCCCCAGCGTGTGGGGGACGAGCGGGCAGAGATCGGCTCCTTGAGCTGCATCACCGCCTCCAGCTGGCACAGCCTCTCCAATAAAAGGTCTCCTTTCTCCACACAACACTGATGTCACCTACGGAAAGGACAGACTGGATCTGTCCCTCCCATGCTTCCAGAGCCCCGGCTCAGCAGGGATTTGGGGCTGCCCGCCTGCCCCGACCTGCACCCATTACCCAGGCACTGCGGGTGGATTGGCAGAGTGGCACACACAGGTCAAATAATGAGAAGCAAACCATGCTAAGCTTGGCAGAGTCTTTTTATCAGCTATAACCAGGCAGCGAGGGGACATGGCAGCCAGAGAAGTGAGAGAGACTTTCAAAAACCCTGCGTGAAGCCGGCAGCAGCGAACACCCAGCCCAGGAATGGCTTTGGGGCTGTCCTCCCCGGGATCCCGGCGGAGCTGCAGCCTGCCAGGGGGGAGGGCTCATCCTCTCCATCCCCACTCTGCCCTGCCTGTGACCCCTCGAGGAAATTACAGCCCTCTCCGGAAGAAAGCATTGCCCATCTGCAACTCCCATGGGAGGAAGAGTTTCTGGCACTGCTATGAGCGAGGCTTCAGGCAGAAATTTTGTCAGCAGCACTGCCATGCACCGGCCAACGCTGGCGTAATCCGCGCTGAATCCAACCCAAAGCACGGGTCTCAAATAAATTAGACAGAGACCAGACAGAGTGGGAGAGAGCAGCTGAGAGAGCAAGAGAAACAGCTGACCAGTTAGAGAGCTGGGATACAGGGATACTGGGAAGGGTTTCTCATCGCTCCCTCAACTCGTTTTTCCTCTCCCTAGGAAAACACATGGGGATTCTTCCTTGCAAGAGAACGTTTCATGAACAACTTCTATTAACTATTTGGCTGCAGTGGTTAGCATATGACCCAGTTTTCTGGCAGAAAAATACAATTTAAAGCAATATCATCAGCCAGCAGATGTTTTTAGAGAATGCTTTGCCTATTTTCCTTCTTATGTGGGTAACTCTGGTAGCTGCTAAAACTGTACCCAGTACTATTTCCTGATCATTTCCACATAAAATTGGAGTGATGTTTCCAGCCTTGCACTGGGCAGTTAAAAAGAATTACAAACTGCACCTGAAAAAATGGGAGGCTGGTCTTAAAAATCTGCTTGTTAAGGCTCCAGAATGTGACAAAAAATAGCTTTTACTAGTAGGTTTTAAGAGACACAAAATCAGATCTATACTTTTTGCTTTAAACCAGCTTTATGTACCTACTAAACTTCTCAGTGTCTCAGAATAAATACTAAATGCACAGACTGGAGCAGTTCAGCTGACTCCACTGGAGTTTTACTCTGCTTTCCCATAGAATCAAGAACTTCCATTGCCAGATACAGTCCAAACTTCAGTGAATGAAGCAATGAGCAACCTGATTTAAGTTTACCCTGCTCTGAGTGGGGCTTGGACCACATGGCATTCCAAGATCGCTCCTCACTTAAGTGACACATGCCAAGTATGCATAAATTAGAGGTCGCTATCTAAAGCACCTCCTTTAGCTGTGCTGGCACCTACCCCCTCCTCCAAGGAGCACAGAGCAAAGCAGAACTAGGAAGGGAAGATATGGTTCCTGAAGCTATTTATTTCAATCATATAAAAGAAAACCCTACAAAACTATGCTATACTCTGTAACGAACACAAAATTTAACTTCTATCATACTATAAAGAATAAGCACGCACTTTTAAGGAAAATATGCTTTTTACATACACAGGATTGCATATGATGTACTCATTTTTACACTGCAATAAGCAAGCTTGTGCCGTGCAGAGAGCCTAATATGATAACTGTTTCTCACTCTGACAGTAAGGAT